GGCCGAGGAGCGCCAGCTCGAAGTGAGAAGGGGCGGGCCTTCTCAGAGGGCTCTCAAGTCCCCTGGCCTTCCGAGGAGTGTTGTAAGCCTTCCCCGAAGACACAGGAGACTTCTCAGCAGGCGCGAGGGCCTCCGAGAAGTCCCGCCGCCTTCTGAGAAGGCCTTCTCCTGTTCACTTCTCCCCCTTCGCTCGCCGCCGAGAAGTGCGTGCACGGGCAAGAGCCCGTCAGTCAGTCAGTTAAGCCTGGCCCCCACACGGCGCATTGGCAGATAAAAAATTCAAGGCCGTGATCTGTGGTGTAGCCAAACAGGCATCTGACTGTGACGCAGAGAAAAGCGGCGCCCCACTGTGACGCAGAAAGTGACACGCTTCTCCAATGCATCTGATTAGTCATTTCGGCGGTGGACAAACCTCCCCTTAGTACACCTCCCCTCAGTGAAACCGGCCTGGGACCGAGACCGACGGACCTGGACCCGCAAAAAAGATGGCCGCGACGCCCTCTCGCGAACCGAAAACGGCCAATTCCTGAATCGACGTGTCAGGGTTCAGCGAGCGAAGAACGAACCAAATAAACTTTTTCGCTGTCGGGGGCGCCTGTCCCTGGGCGGCTGGACAGTTTACACCCCTACGGTGCCACTGTAAGGGTATATAAACTTTCCGGCCGCCCTGGGACAGGCGCCCCCGACGGCGAAAAAGTTGTTATTTTATACCGTTCTTCGCTCGCCGATTAATCGACGTGTCAGGGTAGGAGGTCTGTCCACCTCCGAGCGTCGGGGAGAGGAAAATTGAACGCCCCGGGGAGAGCGAGCATCGGCGGCGCGCGGAGCGCCGCCGCCCCGCCCTCGCCCTCGCTCTCTCCGGGCCAGCTCGGGGAGCCGCGTGTGCACACAGCCATATCTTAGGTCGGGCATGTACCCCTACAGGAGCATTCTGGACGACAGATAAAACATAGTCGAACCATATCCAAACATGCTCAAAACATGATAAACAATGGTCCCCGGACGATTGATGTATTATTCCTATGTCTGAAGATTCCCCCCCCTGTAGAGGGACAGGCCCGACTTAAAAAACTAATCGGAACATGACTCACACCTCGTAGACAATTCGGGTGAGGATCCGTACGGATTGCAGATCTTCGAACGGCATCGCTGGCGCATGCTGCCGGCGAGCGAGGGGGGGAAGTGAGAAGGAGAAGGCCTTCTCAGAACGTGGCGGGGCTTCCCAGAGAGGCCCTCGCGCCTTCCGAGAAGTGTTCGTCTGCGCCTTCGGGAGAACGGCGCAGGACACCTCCCGGAAGGCCGGAGGGCCTCCCGAGCCTGGAGAGAAGACCCCGCCCCTCCTCACCTTCCCCCTTCGGGCTCGCCGCCGAAGCAGGGGTCGCCCCTGGGGCATCCTGGACGCTCCGGAACGGCCCAGGGTCCACTCAAGAGAGAGAATCGGTCTGGGCGAAAAGGGGGGGATAGCAAAAGGGGGGTTTGAGAATCAGCTCACGCAGCTGACTTTCCTGGCGCCTCCCGGCGCCGGAGGCGGCTGTGTATCGAGGAATGGGCCCCTCGGTGGGGCCGAAACCAGCTGCATGCAGCAGATTTCGTACCCCTCCCTTTCCCAATCCCTCCCTGTCGTCTGGCCCGAGAGAAAGGCCTCTCCTTCTCTGAGGGGCAACGATAGAGGGGTCTGGCATAGCGGGGGATGCGTCGACCTGGATTTGGCGATACAGTGGAGGCTGGTCCACAAGAAACCTCCCACGAGAAGCCCAACCCTGAGACCCCAGGGCGTCTACCGATGTTGGGTGTGGGGACGTCACGCCTTCCACAGCAAAACCATCGAAACCCAAGAAACCCAGGGCACCCTGAAGTGAGGGGCAACGATGGGGGGGGACTGGCATAGGGGGGGGAAACATCGACCTGAAATCGGCGATACATCGCCGACTGATCGGCGATAGGCCCCGATGGTGAATCCGCACGCTCCTGGCAGGTTGGGGCTCTCGGGCCCCTATCGGCGATCAGTGGGCGACTGGGGGTCGATGCATCCCCCCCCTGTGCCTACAGCAGGGGCTCGACCACAAGAAACCTTCCACAAGAAACCCAACCCTGAGACCTCGGGACGTCCATGGAGTCTTGGCGTGGGAATGTCATGCTGTCCATAGCAAAACCATCGACACCCAAGAAGCCCAGGGCACCCTGGAGGCAAGCAGGGTGTTTCTTGGCATAGGCCCCCACTGTATCCCTCCCTATCGTTGCCCCTGATGGAGGCGAGCAGTGGACTCCTCGGCACGGGCCCCCCCCTCCTCGGCACGGGCCCCCCCCTAAAACAGGGCTAGGATCGGGATAAATCGCTCCAGAGCGTTCCGGAGCGCTCTCAGAGCGTTCCGGAACGCTCTGGAGCGGCCGCGGCGCCCAATACATCCTCCAAACCCGCCGACTCTCAGAGATTTCGAGTTATCCCGATCCGATTTTGTCCCGATCTTCGTGTCGTTTTAGCACGGGCCCCCCCTGCACATCGCCGCCAGATCGGCGACGTGGCCCCCATCGGGCGCCCGCGCCTGCCCGGTCGGGCTCAGGCTGCCGGGCCCCTGCCAGCGATCCACGGGCAACTGGGGCTCGACGCCTCCCCCCTACCCCCCCTTCCTCCTCCTCCTCCTCCTCCTCCTCCTCCTCCTCCTCCTCCTCCTCCTCCTCCTCCTCCTCCTCCTCATCCTCCTCCTCCCCCCTGTGCCAGCCAACACGTCGTTCCTTTCTGACTGTGCTCGTGCCGAAGTGTGGTCGTTTTTGGCTGCTCCTGGCCCCCCTGGTACCCAGGAAGAGGCCCAGGACGGAGCAATCAGCCACGAGAGGACCTCGGCCCCCCCGTGCCCACACGCCGTTCCTTTCTGACGGTGCTCGTTCCTGAGCGTGGTCGTCTCTGGCTGCTCCTGGCCCCCCTGGTACCCAGGAAGAGGCCCAGGACAGAGCAATCAGAAACGAGAGGACCTCGGCCCCCCAAAAGAGTCAAGAACTTTCGCATGCTTCGACACGAGCCATGTGTAGCCCCCACCCCCCCTGTCGTTGCCCCTGGTTCTCACTTCCCCACAAGAGGACACGGCGGAGCACCCTGCACGACTGTGCTCAAGAGGAGACGGCGGAGCACCCGGCACGACTGCGCTCAAGAGGATTGCTGCGCTCGCCGACTGCCCTCGAGAGGACACGGCGGAGCACCCGAGCCCGACCGGAGGCGGCGGGCCACGGCGCCGAGGAGGAGCGGCCCCTGGCTGCCGCACATTCGGCGCAGAGGGCGGGTCGCCCAGCGCGCGGGGGTAGCCTTAGGTCCGGCGTGTCGTCCTACAGGCGGATATTGGAAGAAGAATCGAACAGATCATAATCAATAATCAAGCAACAAACTATGATCAAACATTAATTAAAATCAATCAAACAATAATTCAGCGGTGGAAGATGAAACGAGTCAATCAATAATCAAACATAGCCACTTAATAATAGGGAAAAAATGTCCACACACGATTTTCCCCCAACCATCCTGGACAGCACCCCGCATTCCTCCTCTCCTCTGCTCCTACCCCTCCCCCCTCCCTCCCCTCCTCGCCTCTGCTCTTCGCATGTCTCTGTTTCGCCGCACCCCTCACACGCTTCGTGGCCCCATGGGGATCTCCACCGAAGGCCCCAGTGGCAGGGTTCGCAAGGTGGCCACGCCCCATCTCGGCGCACCCCTCATGAGGATCGTGGCCCTATGGGGAGTTCCACCGAAGGCGCCAATGGCAGGCAGGGTTCGCATGGCGGCCCCGCCCCATCTCGGCACACCCCTCACACGTTTCGTGGCCCCATCGGAAGCTCCAACGGAGGCCCCAGTGGCAATGTTTGCATGGCGGCCGCGCTCAATCTCGGCGCACCTCTCACACGTTTCGCGGCCCCATGGGGAGCTCCACCGAAGGCCCCAGTGGCAGGGTTCGCATGGCGGCCCCGTCCCATTTCGGCACACCCCTCACACGCTTCGTGGCCCCATCGGAAGCTCCAACGAAGGCCCCAGTGGCAATGTTCGCATGGCGGCCCCGCTCAATCTCGGCACACCCCTCACACGTTTCGCGGCCTCATGGGGAGCTCCACCGAAGGCCCCAGTGGCAGGGTTCGCGTGGCGGCCCCGCCCCATTTCGGCACACCCCACACACGTTTTGTGGCCCCATAGGGAGCTCCAACGAAGGCCCCAGTGGCAATGTTCGCATGGCGGCCCCGCCCTATTTCGGCACACCCCTCGCACAGAACGTGGCCCCATAGGAGGCTCCATCGAAGGCCCCCATGGCAAGGTTCGCATGGCGGCCCCGCCTCCATTACAGCACACCTCTCACACGCTTCGTGGCCCTATTGGGGGACTCCACCGAAGGCCCCAGTGGCAGGGTTCGCGTGGCGGCCCAGCCCCATCTCGGCACACCCCTCACACGATTCGTGGCCTCGTAGGGAACTCCACTGTAGGCCTCAGCGGCAGTATTCGCATGGCGGCGTCGTCTCCATTTCGGCATACCCCTCACACATTTCGTGGCCCCATACAGAGCTCCTTCCTCTGCTTATTTGGACACATCCGTCATATGTTTCGTGGCCCCATAGGGAGCTCCGCCGAAGGCCCCAATGGCAATGCCCGCATGCGTCCCCCAGCCCACTTCGGCACACCACGCACACGTTTCGGGGTTCCCATCCGCGTTGCCCCGTGCTCCCTCCCTCTCGCGGCACGGTAATCTCCTGCGATGCTCGCAGCTGCATCTGGTCGGGTCCTTCGTCCGGCTAATGTTGAATACTCCTCCTGAAGAGGACGTGCCCGACTAAGGGGAAGCCTGAAGTCGGGCGTGTCCCCCCAGATTCTCGTCGAAAAATTAAACATACTCCAACAAAAAACCCAAATGGCCAAAAATTGTCAAAAAAAATCGTCCCCATATTATTTTTTTACTATTTTTGAATACTCCTCTTGTAGAGGGACATGCCCGACGTAAGGGTAGCCGCCCCTCTGCGTGCGGAGCGGGTCACCTCCGGAAGATCAGGGGCACAAGCAGCCCGAGACCCAGCGCCGCGGCACCGACCACCCCGACGGGCGAGCGGATGCAGAACGCGAACCAGGCGGGGTAGGCCAGGCCCAGCACGAAGACGCCTAGCCCCCTGACGGCGTGGCCCTGCAGGGTGCCGAGCCGCAGCCTGAGCGCAGCTGCCGCCAGCATGTTCAACGAGTACAGGAAGAGGGGGTCGATCACGAAGTGCGCGCTGAACCCGAGCGTGAGAGCACGCGCCACCCTGTTGGCGTCGGGGTACGCCACCAGCGACGCGTCGTAGACGAAAAGGAAGAGGACCCCTGCGTTCTCCTGGAGCACGTCAGCGAAACGCAAGGCTTGCGCCTCCGTGCCCAGCGCCCGGTGCACGATCTGAGGGAAGACCCTCTGGACGATCTGGTCGAACACCCGGACCGACCCAAACCACTGCCGGATGCACCGCTCGATCATCTTGCGGTCCTGCTCCACCGTGACCTTGGCGTTGCGCACGGTGAAGTGGGCGAGCTTGTCGTCCAGGACCTTCCGGCTCTGCAGCGAGAGGTGGCAGAAGACAAACTTTGGCACCCCGAATATGAGAGTCCCTCCAGTGCCCCAGATGGCGAAGTACTCGAGCCAGTTTTGCGGGATCCAGAACTGGAACAGGAGGTCGTTGACGGCCACCATGAACATAAAGCCCGTGGTTCCGACGAAGCCGAGCAGCGCGATGCCGAACACGAAGACTGCGACCTTGATCGGCATAAAGTTCAGGCAGTTGATGACGTCGCTCTTCTTGTAGCGAACAAACGCAGCCAGCTCGTACGCACACCACAGCCGCTCGAAGTAGTCGTCGTCGAAGGGGATGAACATGGTCCTGCTCTGCCTCACGAAACTCCCCACGTGCTCCACGCCTCGCCTCTTCTTCTCCGCGTCCACCTGTGAAGGGGCCCTGGGACACACAAATAAATACGCACAAATAAAAATATCCCCCATATTTTCGTATATTTTCTGGGTTTTTGTCTTCCCCACCACTTCCCATATTTTCGCATATTTTCTGGGAATCGACGATTAATTGTGTCTGTGTGTTTTTTTCCCTCCTGAACCTGGTGGATGCAGCACTTGTCCAGGAACACCGTCTTCTGGTAACCGCCGCCGGGCGCCCAGGACCAGATGAGATGCCCGAAGACGTACGCCCCGACCTGCACCATGCACCCGACGAAGAAGCACGGGCCGCACACTGGGAGGCCCCTGGGGTACTCTTCCACGTTGCCGGGCATGGGCACGTAAAAGACGGGAAGGTAGCCCCCGTAGGGAGTCAGCTGCTTGACCGCGAGTAGCACCAAGAACGTCGCGAGTGCTGCACTGTGGGCGGCCAGAAAAGACGAGCGCCCGTTGAAGTGGTAGAGCATGGCAACGTACTTAAGGTATTCGTTGGAGCTCCACGTGTGCGACAGGAAAATGTCAATGTCAGCCAGGCCCGCCTCCAGCTGCTCGGAAAGCAAGAACGTGGCCTCCGTCTGGCTGTTGGCCATGAGACTCGGCCCCTGCGACAACATCCGGGACACCGGCAACCCGCGCCAAATGTCATGCGGGACAGGCGCGGCATCGTCGTGCCCCAGTGGCATGTTATCCAGCCATCTCAGCAACTCGATCTCGTGCCTGTCACAACAATCCCAAGCAGGCTTGCTGTCCGCTGGCGAAACTTCTGCTACCTCGGCCGCATCGTCGACTTCCACCGTGGCGTCGTCCAGAGGCCAGTGCGAGCTGACAACGCTGTCGACGAGGGGTAGGGCGCTCTCGTCTGCGCTCGCCTCGCTGGGCTGCTCGACAGCCTGCCTGGCGACGTCGGCGCAGCCCATGCTGGCCCTGTCGTCGGCGCTTCCAGTGGCTGCCAGAGGCGGCTGGCTGGAGGACACAGCGGCGTGGCCCATCCTGCTCCAATCTAGGGTGCTCGGCATCTCGTCCAGGTACCTCTGGAAACTGGCCGCACGCCGCCGCAGCTCGTCCGGCATGGGCGCCCTCCTGCGCCCAAGGCGCTGGGCAAGCTTCGATGCCAGCGACCGCTTGGAGCCGCTGCTGCGCTGCTCCTCGTCGCTCGAGGCCGCGGACCCCCTCGTGCTGAGCCTCTTCGACCACCGGCGCCACGACTGCGACCGGTGCTCGGAGTCGCTCCCCGAATTCCACGAGACGGCCGACGTGTCCTTCGATTCCGAGCCGTAGCCCGCCTCGTAGTCGTCGCCCTTGGAGCCATCGCTGGTCCTGTGGCTGAGCCTCGGGAGGCCCAGTCGAGCCATCGCCATCGCTGGTCCTGTGGGTGACCCTCGGGAGGCGGGACCACGGGCCGCGCGGCGTGCCGGCGCCGAGCTGCATCACGGGCGCAGGGTCTTGAGCCAAACTGGCCACGGAACAGTTGCGCTGCGTTCCTGCAGGGACTCGGCAGGTGTCCCCAGCGTCTGCGCTGACAAAGACGTGCAGGATCGCCACCCTCATCTTGACGCGTCCGACGAAGCAGACGCCACCGGCGTGCTCGAGCCAAGAAAGCGTTGGCCAGGACCACAATTGCTCGGGAATCCAGCTCTCCCATGCTTTCGAATGCTCAGAGGAGGGCCGACAGATCGACAACAGAACCCTTCTCCCGTCTGTGGGGGGCTCTCTAGGGGCACTCTTGGAGCGGAGGAGCCCTCCTTGGGCCGTCTTGCGACCAGCGTGGCGTCCAGTGACTGACAAATCGGGTCTTGCGCACGATGGCACAGCGACCAGACGCCGCGGCTTCCGCGGCCGCCAGCGCGGCACGCTGCACTGGAAATGAGGGCGCTCACGCGCAACCTTGCGCGGGCAGCTTGCGCGCCAATGTCGCTTCCCTCCGCCCTCAGAACTTTTCCTCCCCAGAGGGGGGAGGGAGGGAAGGGAGGGAAGGGAGGGGAGGGAGGAAAGAGGGAGGGGGCGAGGAGGGAGGAGGAGGGAGCACGAAGACCGCTGGGACGACGCGGGTCTCTGCAGCTAGCAGAGAGCGCCCTATAACAGAGACTCCCCATGCCCAGGGAAGACAAAAGCGGCGGCGGGGACCCAGACAAGGCTGGACCTGAACGTCGTCTTCGTTGTGTCTTCGTTCTTCCATCGTTTTGTCTTGAATTCGCCGTTGCTGCAAAACGACATCGAAACAAAAACGGCCAACGACATCGCCAAAACACCGTTTAGGTCCAGCCCTGGACCCAGAGACGACCCGAGAGCTGCCCAGAAGATGCGCCCCCGCGAGTCAGAACTCTCCAGGTGTCCTCTTGGGGCACTTTTGGGTGCCTCATGGGGGGGCATCTGGGCACGCCTTGGGCAGCTCCTGGACCCACATCGGGGGTCTCTTCTGAGCGACCTTGGGCCATACCTAGGTCGGGCATGTCCTTCTCACAGGCGGATTTTTGCAGGACAAGAAAATAGTCAAGCATAACTGCTGTACGGTAGCAAGAGCATGAACAATCGTCACCCGACAATTTCCCAATCATACAGTGGTGTTGGGTCCTCGATTTGAAAAGACGGTGCCACGTCTACTCCCCTCTTCCTCCCGCTTTTCCCTCCTCCCGTACCCCCCCCCCCACTTTGGCACACCCATCACACGTTTCATGGCCCCAAAGTGAGCTCCGGGGAAGGCCCCAATCGCATGGTTCGCATGCCGCCCCCCTTCCACTTTGGCACACCCATCACACACTCCGTGGCCCTATAGGGAACTCCACCGAAGGCCCCATTGGCAGGGTTCGCATGCCGCCCCCCCTCCACCTTGGCACACCCCTCACACGTTTCGTGTCCCCAGAGGGTGCTCCGCCGAAGGCTCCAGCGGCATGGTTTGCACGCTGGCCCCCCTCCACTTTGGAACACCAATCACACGTTTCGTGGCCCCATAGGGAGCACCACTGAAAGCCTCAGTTGCATGGTTCGGATGCCACCCCCCTCCACTTTGGCACACACCCCACACACGTTACGTGGCCCCACAGCGAGCTCCACCGAAGGCTCCAGTGGCATGGTTCGCATGCCGCCCCCCCTCCACTGTGGCACACCCCTCAAACGCTCCGTGGCCCCATAAGGAACTCCACCGAAGGCCCCAATGGCAGGGTTCGCATGCCGCCCCCCCTGTATGTTGGCACACCCCTCACACGCTTCGTGTCCCCATGGTGTGCTCCACCGAAGGCTCCAGCGGCATGGTTTGCATGCCGGCCCCCCTCCACTGTGGCACACCCCTCACACGTTTCGCGGCTCCATAAGGAGCTCCACCGAAGGCACCAGCGGCAACGCCCGAATGGCGGCCCCGCCCCATTGCGGCGCACCCTTCGCGCGCTTGCTGATCTCGCGACGGCGGCATTCGCAACTGAATATGGTTCCTTCGCCAAGATAATGTTCGAGTGTTCTTGAATACTCGTCATGTAGAGGGACATGCCCGACTTAAGGCCATAGCTACGTGGCGACAGCCGATGCCTACCCCCACCAACCAACGATCCTACTGAATCGATTGGAGGCGGGTGTAGGGTTCGGACTTCGCCACGTCATCGCTGGATTCCGAGCCCAGCCCCCGCTGCCCATCGAGTTGACTGATTCGTTGATCGGCCATTGTAGGGTCCGGATCTCGCTGAGCCTTAGGAACCTGTCGGAAACCAGAACGATTACGCATACAATCACGAAGAGACCTCAAGTTTGATGGTTTGTGGCCCCTCGGGGCTATATTGGGGAAATTTCGTGGCCACCGTGGGCCGTACCTTGTCGGCCTAGTGAAGGCCGTCTTGGGCCATCGCGTGCCATCTTGGTGGGTATCTTGGACACCGCCTCGCCTTGTCTTGCCCTTCCAAGGGTAACCATGGGGGCGTGGCACCGCCGGCGTTGTGGCCGACGGGTGGCTGGACGGGCTGGCGCGTTCCATTCGGGGACGTCTCTCCTCAGGGTCTTGACGGGGGGGCGCGAACGGTCAACGTTGTGCAATACTGCTCACGTGTGAGCGACGAAGAGAAGCGGGTCTTACGCGAGATGACACTGCGACCTTACGCAACGGCTTGCGCGGGCTGCCAGCGCTGCGCGCTACGCTGGAGACGAGGGCGCTTGCGCGCGACCTTACTGTACGCGTTCCCCGACCCCAATGCGGAGAGGAGGGTCTAGAAGGGGGCCGCTCGATCTCTCGAGCAACAAAGGGCTGCAGGACTTCGGGTCTCCGCTCGATCCGTCTTATACATACATTATACATATATATATACGAGAGAGAGAGAGAGACCCGCAAAGCAACAAACTTCATGGCACCTCTCCTTGGGCGCTGGAAGCGGCTCGGCCTCCAGCCGAAAAACTCAAGCGAGGTGCCATCTTTGTGGCCCCTTCTGCGGGCCTTCCGCGGGTCAACCGCTGGGGCAGACGCGAGGCTCCCGCTGTCCGAAGTCGGCTCAGTTGCGGCTGTCGCAATGCTTCCTGCGACCATCCGTCTAGCTCCCGCCGCGGATATCCTGAGAGCTCGCGGGGCGATCTCGGCATTCGTTCTTGAACGTCTCGATCCACGTCTGCGCGGCCCAGGGCTGCTCAAATCCTGAAGATTGACCCTGCCGGCACTCTCAGCTTTTCGATATTCGTGGCCTGCCTGTCCGACAGCACGTTCCCCTTCTTGAGCAACCTCGTGATAAAGTCGTCTTCGAGACCCGATGCGCGCAAGCCTTTGGATCTCGAGATGTGCCTAAGGTCGGCTACGAGAAACGCATTGAAAAACTTGTGCCTTCCATTTCCGTCCTGTCGCGTTAATCGCGGCTCTCGGCCAAGTCCTGCATTCGTCTCCTCGTCAGGCGTAGCCTCGCGGAGGTTGGTGTCTCCAAGTGCGGGGCGCGCCGCTTCCTGGGCGAGGTCCGTCGTGAGGCGGCTCTTGGCGTAGCAACCAAATTCGCATCCTAGGAGGCGCGTCGCAGCGATCCCGGCGGAAAACTACCGTTTTCAAGATGAACCAGAATTCCTCGCTGCCCGCGTGGTGGGGCGCAGGCGCGGGGCAAACCGCGGCCTGGGCTGGCTCCTCTTGCAACGCCGCCTTCTCGCCTGACGCAGAAGTCACGACCCCCGTGGGAAAGGCCATCGCGCTCAAGCCCTTGAGAGGTGACCTGAGCTGGAGGTTCAGAGTGGCGCAGCGTTTGAGAATATTCGACCGCTCGCTGTACTCGGCGAGGACGTCGGCCGCCATCTCGTCGGCGTCCTCCTTCAGGAGGACGAACGCCTTGAGTGGTAGCCGTTCCTGTAACCATAGGGACCCCAGCGCTCGGTGCCTGACCTTGCCCGCGCGCGCTCGTGAGCACATGCCCCATCGAGCGACGTTGTCACTGTAGACCGTCAGGTTGCTCGGCCGTTGGGTCTCGATCAGGCAGTCGCACTGCCGGCGGCATGCATCATCGGATTCCCTTGAGCTCAGGGCCATCGTGCTCTGCGTCGCTGAGTAGCAGTCCCACGTATGAGCTCCGTAGCGCACAACTCCTCCACTCGCGGGTCGTCTCTGCAACTCGCTCGTAGGTGCCCGGTCTGCATCCCCATCCACGCGAATGCCTTTAGGCGTGCCCTGCAAGGGCTCACGCCAGACCAACGCAGGCTCGCCTTCGCACTACTTCCCAAGCCGCTGAACCCTCGCAGGCAGCAAGACTTTGGGGGCTAGAGGCGTGCTGCATCGCGGTCTTCCTGGCGTACATCGCGTTGGGCCTGTCCGAAGAAGGGCAAAGTGCCGCGCCCGCTGCGCCCGCCACTTCCCGAGCTCGGCCTCTGGCAAGATAATCCAAAATGTCTCGTCGGCCTCGTCCTGGCGCTATCGTTCCTGGAGTGGGAGATGCCTTGCGCCCTCGCTTCTGCGTCCACTGAATCATGGAATCCACGCGCTTGGGATCTGCTGTCCAGGAGAAGCCTGGGTCCTCCGAGCCTGGCAGCTGGCCGGTGAAAACGATGATCATCTTGAAGTATTTCGTCTGCCCAGGCAATCCTGGACACTGTCTGGCGCTCGCTGTGACCTCGAACTGATGCTTCAGCAACTCGCCCAACTTGTCTAGCTGCCCACCATAGATTTCGGCCGGGGAGTCGTCTGCGCGGCAGATCGCCGCGGGGCCCTCGTCGACGGCAGGGGCGTTTGGGGCTCGACGGCAGGTCGAAGACGTTAGGCGTCGCCATCATGCAACCCCCAAGGCCGTCGTCCATGGCGGCCCTCACCATCTCCCCCCACATCTGCGAAGCCTTCCCGACGCCGTTCATTGCCTTGCGTCGCCGCCAGCACCTTCCAGGAGGGCACTGCTCACGGCCAGGATGTACGCGGATCGCCTCG